TTCTCCAGCCCTGACCACCCTCCCAGGAGTCAGTAGGGGAAGCGGGGGTAGCACCGCCATGTGGGAAACACCGCCATCCTCTCTATCGGCAAAACTCTGAATTGTAAATGTAAACACCCGCCATTTCGGTGTCCGAACGGAAACGGGACGCCGCGTGAGGTAGGTTTCGCTAAGATTTATTTGATTTTGAGATCGCAATTGCCCATTTTGTGAATTTCAAACCGTCGTTGTAATCATTTGGCATGTTTGAGCAGCAAGTAAGTGGTCATTTCAAGTCAAAATGCCTTGATTTTTACGTTAAATTTGAGGGCATGAAGCAGGGATGCGGAGCCGTGGAAATTTCAGACGGCTCCGGCTCCGGCTCCGGCTCCGGAGAAAAAAATCGGCTCCGGCTCCGGCTCCGGCTCCGGGTGAAATGTTATGGCGGCTCCGGCTCCGGCTCCGGCTCCGAGTAAAATGGTCCGGCTCCGGCGGCTCCGGCTCCGACTCAGTACATCCCCTACGCAATCAATTAAATACGGGTGGAAGAAAAATTGGATTGGTTATACGCGTTACTCTTTGCCATGACCGGCTCACCGCGTCCCCGCGCAAACGCACCTCGGAGAGAACTGGCAGAACAAAGGGCTAGGAAGCGATGGCATTGGAAACGCAGTCGCCGCGAATCGGAGTTCAGTGAACCATCGTAAGCTGACACCCGTCTCGGCTGCGTTGGGGGGTGAGGGGTGGGGGGTGTGTGGGATGAGACGGTGCTGGGAGTCGCAGTCCACTGCACTGGTTTGAAAACAATGGCCGTCACCTGATGACTGGTCCTCATGTTCTGGGGATGCAGTAGACGTGGGGGGGGGGGGGGGAAGAGCAAACAGGAAGTTGTTTGCGTACTGTGGGATACTGGGGATATTCGGATTTTTTCATTCACTTGATGGCCCATGACGTAAGTACCATATGTTTTACTGCCTTGTACTGTCAAACCGAACTAGGTCAATTATTTTTTTCCCTCTTCAAAAAATAAAAAGGAGCCGGAGTCGCCCCCTTTTTTGGCGGCTCCGGCTCCGGCTCCGGCTCCGGGCTATATTGTTTCACGGCTCCGGCTCCGGCTCCGGCTCCGGGCAAAATATGCCGGCTCCGGCGGCTCCGGCTCCGACTCCGGCTCCGGCTCCGCATCCCTGGCATGAAGTGCTCTTTGTTGAGAAAGGAATTACAGAAGAATCGCGTCCCGGCTTGTTTTGCTGTCGGGACGTTGTCGGTCCATGACTGTGAGTGGGGTAACACCGCCATGCTCGGCGGTGCTACCCCAAGGGGTGGCAAAATGGATTAAGCCGCAATGATGATTCACTCAGCTCGGAGAAGAGCTTTAGTTAGGCCGCAAACGTCGTCTGTTTTTTAACCTCACGTTTGACTTCACTGGATGTTTCGAAATAAACGTGAATTTGTCATGCTTTGTATGCATATTGTCCGCAAAAAACAGTCTGATCTGTGACAAACTAACAACCAACTCTTGTGTGTCTTATATGAGTTTGAGTTACTATTTCAGACAGCAGTAACGCTTCCAAGGGTGGCTGTCACCGTAAGGCCGATCTGTGGATAACATCGCCATCAGTGGCGGTGCTACCCGCACATTTTTTGGAGGACGAAAAATGCAGGACTTGTTTTCGACGTCTGTAAAGTAGCGAAATTTTATAATGGAGCGCTGGAAACTATGCCAACATGTAGGAAAACATTCCTACTGTCAGTGTCACATGAATGCAAAAGAGCTTCGTTTTTACTACGCATATCAGCTCGGTGAGCAGAAATGCTTAAGGTGGCGGTGCTCCCCCCGCTTCCCCTATAGGGCATTACAGTTCGCAATTCACTCTGGAAAGTAGTAACCCTCCACGACTATTCGCGTACCAGTCGCTCGCGACCCCTCCATCGAAATGTATTTATTCATTGACGCCTACCTGGCAGACGCGCCCCACAAACCCCTAAAGAAACCTTCCTTTACATTGACGCCTCCCTTTAGTTTTACCCTCCACGCCTACCCTTCGCCGACCAAGTCACGAGGGCCCAAAAAACTCACACGCCAGGGTTGTGCTCGACTCAAAAAAATTTGCCGACTCGACTCATCATTCAACTTCAGAAAGCCCTGACTCAACTCTGACTCAAACAAGGAGCTGATTTTTGCCCTTGACTCGACTCACGACTCAAGCGGCTCAATGAAAATATGAGTCGACTCAAGCTTGACTCAAATTTTTTGTTGAGTCAAGTGAATTGACTCAAAATTGACTCAATTAAAAAAGTTGTTGAGCGGGGGCGGGGGTGAAAAAAAAAATCCGGCAGCAGGGCCAGGGCGAAGTTGTTAAGCGGGGGGGATGAAAAGCTTGTTTCTAGAAAGTTGAGTCAGCTGACTCATGTTCCTAAATGTTTGACTCAACTCAATGTCAAAAGTTATTTTACTGACTCAACTCTGACTCAACTCAACGCCTTAATATTTTTGTCCGACTCAACTCTGACTCAACTCAACAGCTCAACAGTTGATCCGACTCGACTCAAATCTGACTCATTTGAGTCAGAGTTGAGTCAAATTTGTGACTCGACTCATGAGTCAAGCACAACTGTGTCACACGCTTGTCAATTTTTGAGAGAAGATATCTATAAAATGACAATCTCACACACGGTAAACATCGGTGAGAAAGTCACATCGGTGGGAAAGGTCAAATCGAACTCCCATAGAAAATTCGACATGACCCTATCACCAGCATGGTCATGCAGACCGCCCGAAAACATGAAGATGTGTCGCTACTGCCTTCGTGACCTATATAAGAATTAAAATGGTCTCACTTGATACTTTCGGAAGAGAAAAAAAAACGTTGCCAATCGTCCCGTGACGAATATTGGAGAGGTTTTAAAGATGCACCCTAACAATTGTACTTTCGCCCCCACTTTAAAACCGCCAAGCTATGTGCGAATATATCATTGGTGAAAAAAAATTGTAATTCAAAACTGTGTGAGACAGCGCCATCTACAGGGATGTTCACGAAAAACTGACACATTTTATTTCCGAATTACGAGAAAACACCTGCCCTCAGCATGGTGATCATGCTATGGGCAAATAGAGTGGACTTCTAAGTTTTTATTGACATATTTTGGGAACATGTCATTTTCGTTTCTAAGAAGTTAAGGCCTGGCTACACTATGCGTTTTCTGCGTGCGTTTTTTGCGTGTTTGCGTGTTTTGCGTGATATCGTGCTAGTAAAAAACGATATTACGTTTTTGTAATGTTTTTTTCATATTCAATTTTAGCTAATATAAGAATTGCATTACCTTTTAGACATAACTTATGTAAAAGTTTTATTAAATATAGCTTTCTTCTAGAACGATATTACGCAAATCACGCAAACACGCAAAAAACGCACGCAGAAAACGCGTAGTGTAGCCAGGCCTTTACAGCGTATTTTGCAGATGACGAGTTTTTGGAGCAGTGCACGACTCAGCCCGAAACAGGAAATTATCCCCCGTTTTTGGGCACGTGCCTGGAGAATTGCAACACCTCTCACTGCACTCGTCGGGAGTTTTGATGTCCTTTGGGCCGCTGCTACAGACCATGTCACTCACGTGACCCCACAGGAATAGTCCACGGTGTTGAGGTAGAGCGAAATGGCCGGCTATGGGTGAGAGGTGATGCGCGAGACAATGCCCCCTCCCCCCTGTTCTCGTGTGAGACCGATGATCGCGGTTACTGTACGTGGGGTGGCCCTGACGTGCCAGAACCACCAAATGGTGTAGACGTCGACCCATTTCCGCTACAGTAGCTAACAGAAGCCGTTACAAGATGGCACGGTACCACTCTACAGTGACTGCCAGCATGCGGCCATGGTTTCTGGCATCAGCACTTCCAAGCCTGCCAATTTTGGCATTCCTTAGGAATTTGCCCACAATATGCCAATAGTATAAAACATAATCAATCGAAACATTAATATGTCAAATTTTAGACGAATTCGTATACTGGTTCAGTCGTGGTGGCAGATGGTAGCCGCGAGAGCTTCATTGTTTTTCCGCTAAGTTTTGTCGCCAAGTCAAATTTCCCCATTTTAACGCTTTCTTATTTATTTGAAAACTCATGTGATGCTACCTAAAGGAGCTATGCACATATAAAACTTTTTTCAACAGGCTTTCGAATGACATGCAAATCAAGTCTCCGTGAGCTCTCACATGCTCACAAAGTCGTTTTAAAATGTGTCATTTTTTCGTGAACATCCCTGTAGTTGTGGTGGTTGAGCCTTCACAATTTACCAGTAGATCCAACTCCTTCAGGAAAGGTAGGTTGGATCTACTGATATCCGGTCCGCGTATCCGGTCCACGGATACGCGTATAAAGTTCTTATTTATTTACGATACGTCGAGTAGTTCCAACTCTTTCAGTGAGGGTTATGCCAATGACTCGACACCCGCGGGGACAATATCCGGTGCTGGGTAGCTACCTTATCTTCGGACCGCAGGTACGGTGCATATTTTTGAGTAATAACGCGGGGTAGTCTGCTTACCCTCTTACCCTCTATCTGGACATGGCGAGTTAATGCGCATATACCACCCGCAGTGCATAGCTTAATTCGCCAGCTCCGGGTAAAATTGTTTTCAGTGCATCAGCAGGGGCATGCAATGAGAAAACGACAAATTCATGTTGGGTTTTTGCTCGTTGGTCACATTTGTAGCCAAACAAAGTTTGACTCGGTGCCATTCAAGACAGCCGAACAATAAACTGAAGTAAGTTACTATACATACAGACATTTTGCAGAAAGTTAATAAAAGTTAATAAATAAGGAGTTAATAAAATTATCAGATCGAACGTGCTTCAACCCGTAAAATAATCATGAATTATTGCTCACAACTGTGACCGACTAATGGGATAAGGATGAAGCTGCTAGGGGGTGATGGGGGTGGGGGGCTCCAACAATTTCTTCCAGCGGGGTATGCAGGTGAGCGATAGACACGGTGACGGCCAGAGCAGATGTCTGTGTCGGCAGGTTTTACGTTTCCTGACGCTGAGTCGGCTCCGCTGGGCTCCAGCACCCCGGCGGCGGCCGACCCGGCCTCCAGCACCCCGGCTGCGGCGGCCGGCCCGGCGCCGGGGCTCGGCGCCGAGGACTACGACGACTACGGCCCCACTGTGGACCCGGCCCTGGAGGGCGGCATCGAGGAGCGCTTCTTCTTCGGCAAGGACGGTCAGTGGCGCTGTGCAGCTTCTGTGCTGCTCTCAGGGTCGCACAGTGCTGTCCATGCTCAGTTGTCGTGACTGCCGCTGTGTGTAGTCGCCATCCCTGTTCTGTGAGGTGCGTCCAGCCGGTGGTCCGCCTGGCGGCGTGGCCGTCCACAACCAGCGGGCTGGATGGTGACCGACACCGACACGGAGACTTTAACTGGCACTGTTACTGACACTGCACTGTATGAGACCGACACTGACACTGACACTGACACTGACACTGACAGTGACAGTGACAGTGGCAGTGACAGTGACAGTCTCTGTGCCGCCAGTGACAGCCTCTGTGGCAGTGGCAGTGACAGTGACAGCTTCTGTGCCTCTGTGGCAGTGACAGTGGCAGCCTCTGTGGCAGTGACAGAGAGAGCCTCTGTGACAGTGACAGTGACAGTGACAGTGGCAGTGACAGTGACAGTGGCAGTGACAGTGACAGTGACAGCCTCTGTGCCTCTGTGGCAGTGACAGTGACAGTGGCAGTGACAGTGACAGCCTCTGTGCCTCTGTGGCAGTGACAGTCTCTGTGGCAGTGACAGTGACAGTGACAGTGACAGTGACAGTGACAGCCTCTGTGGCAGTGACAGTGACAGTGACAGTGACAGTGACAGTGATAGTGACAGCCTCTGTGCCTCTGTGGCAGTGGCAGTGACAGTGGCAGAGACAGCCTCTGTGCCCCAGTGACAGTGACAGTGACAGTGACCGCCTCTGTGAGTGACATTGACAGTGACCGCCTATGTGATAGTGACAGTGACAGTGGCAGTGGCAGTGACAGTGGCAGTGACAGTGGCAGTGACAGCCTCTGTGCCCCAGTGGCAGTGACAGTGACAGTGACAGTGACAGTGACAGTGACAGCCTCTGTGACAGTGACAGTGACAGTGACCGTGACGGCCTCTGTGTCGCCAGTGTCGGCCAGTATCGGACGGAAGCTGGGCGCCGCCGCCAGCAGCCTGCTCGGCACCCTGGGCGCGGCCAAGAGCCGGCCGCCGCCGCCGGTCCCGCCGGCCCGCGCCGCCGCCACCGCCGGCTACGGCGGCGCCTACCCGCCCACTCTGGACCTGTACGACGACTCCGAGTACCCGGAGTACGGGGAGCCGCCGGCCGGGCCCCCGGCGCGAGGCTATGGCGGGTGGTCCGTACCGGACGCCGACCTGACGTCCGCCGGCGGCGCGGGCAACTCGGTGGACGACTACCCGGTGAGCCGGCGGGCGGCGGCCGACAGCCGGTACCTACCGGTACCCAGCCGGCTGTGTCAGCTCCCCGGGTACCGGCAGTCCGACACAGGGGGGGGGGGTGTACCGGTACCGGCAGTCCGACACAGGGGGTCGGTACTGGTACCGGCAGTCCGACACAGGGGGTGGGGTGTGTACCGGTACCGGCAGTCCGACACAGGGGGTCGGTACCGGTACCGGCAGCCCGACACAGGGGGGGGGGGTACCGGTACCGGCAATCCGACACAGGGGGTATGTACTGGTACCGGCAGTCCGACACAGGGGGTATGTACTGGTACCGGCAGTCCGACACAGGGGGTATGTACTGGTACCGGCAGCCCGACACAGGGGGTGTGTACCGGTACCGGCAGTCCGACACAGGGGGGGTACCGGTACCGGCAGTCCGACACAGGGGGTGTGTACCTGTACCGGCAGTCCGACACAGGGGGTGTGTACCGGTACCGACAGCCCGACACAGGGGGTGTGTACTGGTACCGGTACCCAGCCGGCTGTGTCAGCTCCCTGGGTTCCGGAGACGGCGGTCAGCGCTGGCCAGAGGATTCCTTAGGTCAATGCTCCTAGCGCGTCTCTTTATCCTGCCGATATTCATACACATCGAGTTATTTCAAAAAAAGAAAAGTTTTACGCAACAAAAAAGTACCTAACTGAAAATTCGCAGTTGCACTCTGCAATGAATACAATATATTTACATTTTCTGCTTGGATATGCTTTCTGGTTGACTCGTGTTGGAAGTTAGAGGTCAGTGACATTGCTGTAGGTATAAGTCTGCGCCTTCTGCTTCCCCCGTCAGTGACACAGAGCTGCGCCTTTTCCCAGGATTACGGACCGGAACCGCCGACCAGCCCGCGGTTTTTGCAAGGATTCCCAGTCGAGTAAGACTGCTAGGATTATCATTAACGTCTGCCTCAGTCTATATGTATAGCAATAATAGCCGTTTTCACGACAGTCATCTGGTACACATTTGGTGCACACTTGGTGCAGATTAGGTGCAGATTTGGTCAAATCACGTTCAGGGTATCTCTTAGAAGCTATCAGCCAGGGTTGCACTAATTGCTTATATGGCTCCTTTGTCATATCATCAGAGAGTATCATCGAAATAAATTCATAAAATGAAGATAATTGCTGTAAAAGAGATAAGGTGCAGATTTGGTCAAATTAGGTGCATTCGCCGGATAGCCCGTCGTGAAAGCGGCTAATATATAGGTACCGTTAGTCTAACATTACGCTATTTACAGGGATTCTGTGCATCATTATCCGAATGAAAAATGGTTTACCTAATCCAGTATAATTAGACACGATATGAAAATGAAAATAAGGGATTAACTGATTAAATATAGCTAATCCACTTTGAATTATATCATGTAACGAGGGGTTCGAGAAATATAGTACGATTTAAATTGGCTGATCCGGATCGGTGATGCAACTGGGAGCGGCATCAATGCGATCCTGCGTTACCTGCACCGCCCACATGGGTCGGCTCCGGCGTGTACCGGCATACATGTCAACTCGTAGTCGGTATATGCTTAAAGGGCTTTACGATTCAGAACATTGGATCTGCTATCTGTATCTAACCGACCGACACCATGCCTCCTTCATTTGTTTGAAGCACGGATTTTGTAGGACGATAATTGCCGTTCTCTAATTGATAGCCACGTCGGAGGTCTGACAGGGCGCCTGCCCTGCCGCGCCTGCCCCCAGCCGGCGGGGCCGCATTATGTGCGCCAAGGTGCCGCGCTGGAAGAAGAAGGCCTGCAGGAAGGCGCGCCGCCAGCAGCGCCGCAGGGGCGTCACCCAGCGGCCGGCGCCGACCGCCGCTCCGACCGCCGCGCCGACCGCCGCTCCGACCGCGCCGCCCGTCACCTGCCGTGAGTCCGACCGTCGCCTGCCGTGAGTCCGACCGGCACCTGCCGTGAGTCCGACCGGCCACCTGCCGGCAGTGCGTCCCCAGCCACTCCGTCCCCAGCACCTGCCGGCAGTGCGTCCCCAGCCACTCCGTCCCCAGCCACTCCGTCCCCAGCACCTGCCGGCAGTGCAGCTTGCAAAACACAAATAGGAAAGTTGTTCCTTTTTTAGACCTATTTTGTTAACAGCCAACAGGCAGTGTGAGTGAGGTACTCGTATTGGTTCAGTGGCTCTTTTCGTGCTTTTATTCGCACCTAAATAGTAGGCATGGAATATGTTAAAGCCAATTATCATAGTGATTCTACGACTCATTTGCTACTGCCGACAACAAAAGTTCTCGTTATGCCGTCGTAACGACATAAAGAGTTACATACCTATGTATTATGTATGTCGACTTATGTCGACGTATGCAACATGCATCAGCCATCAGCCTCACCGTGGAATGCTCATTGTTATTGGTAGATGCGCGCATTATTATATTCAGCTGTTTTTACATTCTTTGGCAGCTTTCGGAAATAAGTGGTAAAAATTCCTTCTTGCTGTTCAGTGAATGTGTTTTAAGGCCCAGTCCTTTTTTGGGCCCTTGCGGTTCTTCTTTACTATCCCAGCTACGTGCTGTCGCAAAGTCGTCCTTGGAATCCTGGAGGGTGGAACAGTGTGCTAACTGTTCAGTGTGTTAGTTTCGCAGTTTTTATTGACTATTGAGTATTGATGGAATATGTGACCCTATGAACTTTTAAGAACACATTCACATAACCTAAAATTGTTTGTCTGCTTTTCATTTACAGACATTTCTATTGCCAGAATCGTATTCCTCTCGCCGAGACGCGTCGAATGAACTATAATTTGATCTTGAAAGGTCAACTTTAAAATTTGGCCTCAGGTCGAGGTCATGACCTGACCGAAAAAGGTCATGTTGCATATCAGTCGATGCGTCTCGGCAAGACAAACACAATGAGACCATCTCCAGCGTTCTATCTTTTTCCAATCGAGAGTTATTGGCAAAAATCTGTTTGTAGCCTCCAAATGACCTCGGATGACTTTTCTAGAGGCTATCAGGGGCATTCCACGTCAAATCAAACACCGAAATCCGTCATCCCCTTCGATTTTTCTGAAAATTTGTAGGCAGACTGGGCATGGTTCAAAACTGAGTTACGTATAATATTTTCGAAATTTGATAACGTATCGCTGAGATATAGGTCATCGAATATAGCCAAAAATGTCACACATCAATTTTTTAAATGTCTATAACTCTGGTTCCTTTTCTGGTATCAAAACGATATTAACAGGGTCTTGTAGGCAATTGATAAGGCTTTGATTTTTAGTTATAAAATTAAACTTAAGTGACCTTGAAATGCATTTGACCTTGAATTAAAACAGAAAATTTAGATAGCAAAAAACACGCCACCTTCGATTTGGGTAATTTTTACATATTATGTCCGTCACAATGTTCCTAACCATCTGTGAAAAAATTGAAGTGGGCCATTCATAACTTTCGCGGCAAACGCCGTTTTCATGCATCAACATCACGCAACCGCGCGTGACCTTGAAAGACAGAGTCAAGACATGCTTGCTTGTGTACACTTTCTGAAATGAATGATTGCTGATTAGTGATATCCGTAGTTACGTGACCCGCCGACAGGTGGGGCCGGTGGCGTTCGCCCTGCCCGCCACCGGCAGTGCGTGCTCGCTTTCGGCAGAGCTCGGAGCTCCCTGTGCGTGGCCCAGTCGCCGGTATTTGAGGCGGTTCGGGTCTCCGCATGTGCTTTGAGCGGTGCGGAGATGGAGGAGGCTATCCGCGAGTTGGCGGAAAAAGTGAGTGCCATCGAGGCATCAGTGCGCGTCATTGACGCTCGTGTGAGTGAGCCCAACGCCGGTCGTCGGCACGTGGCTCCAACGGCTCTCAGTGCAGCCGAGGCTGCTGAGCCCAGTGAGAAGCAGGAGCAGCCGAGTTTCGGCGCGTCAGCAGATCTGCAGGCTGACTTTCGAGCGATTCGGGACAGCCTGAGCAAGGTCAAGCTCCCTCAGGACTTGGTGGTTGGTGACTCCCGAGCCGGAATCGGCAAGGCTGATCTAGCGCGCTTCCAGGTCATCCAGAAGTGCGCCCGTTTCCAGGAAACCGCCTTGAAGATACTGTCTTCGGCGCAGGTAGCTGATCCAGTGATTGACCAGCTCACAACCGTGACGCTGGCTCAGCTCAGGTTCCTACAAGAGGAGTACACTCATCTGATTGTCTCCAACCAGTTCGACGACTCTACGGCGCAGCTGTTCAAAACGCTGCAACACAACCCGGCGACCTTCACGCCTGGAGCAGTGGAAAATCTCCAGCGCGCCGTGGCCATTGCCGGGGCGCGGCAGCATTCTCGTCAGGTCAGCCAAGTTCCTGACCGTGGTCGCTGGCGAGGTTCAGCACCGCAGGGCCAACGGTTATACGGCGGCCCGGTGTCGTCTGATTGGCGGAGCCGCGGTCGTCCCGGCCTGCCGCCGTCACGTGACCTGCCGAGGTCGAGTCAGTCTGGTGGGGCGGGGGCCGGAGCTGCGGACTGATAGTGAGAGTGGACATGGTGCTGCGGCCGGAGGCCTGGGCGGGGATCGGTGCGTCTGATACAGTACTTAACTGGGTGACGGAGGGCGTGCCCATCCCCCTCGTGCGTGAACCCGAGCGTAGAGTGTTCACCAATCCAGTGTTTAGTGGTGCAGAGAAAACGTTTTTGGACCAAGAAATCAGTGCGCTGGAAGAGAGGGGTATTATTCGGCGGGTTCGCGACATGCCCCATTGTGTATCGCCGCTGAAGGTAGTACCCAAGAGTGGCGGCAAGTTCAGACTGATATGCGACCTCAGGTACGTGAACTCGCATTGTGACACGCCAAAATTTTCTTCTGAGGGTATTGATGTGCTGCCGGAGATAGTGCGCGGTGGTGAGCAGGCTGTCACCGTAGACCTGAAGGATGGTTTTTATCATTTTCCGATCAGGGCTGAGTTCCGAACGTATTTAGGGTTTCAGTTTGGCGGTTTTTGGTGGGTGTGGTGCTGTCTACCGTTTGGCTTGCAATGTTCGCCGTTTTTCTTCCACAAATGTATTCGTGTTGTCGTCGAGTATTTGCGTGGTCCTACTGCGTAGCATTCACGTTCCATAGTAAAAGTCAAAAGTGTCTCAGGCAAACGGTATTTTGCGGTGAATTTTGAGCCGCGTGGAAATGTATCGTGAAGTAAATTCAACGAAAGCATCATCACGCAACGATCACGTCTTTTTATCTTCACTATACGAAAGAACATACATTTTTGAGTATGTATGGGGAATTTCTAGTTAATCTAATAATAAATATGGCAGTTAGAGGCCTGATAATAGCAACATGTCGCCGGCTGAGGCGGGATCGCCCGACGAGGGAAACGCAGCAATCACAATGTTGTGTTTACACGTTCATATTTCAATTGTTTACCAACTGATTTTCAAAATTCTTTCACCATAAGATTGCCTGTGCATTTCTTAGTCTTCTCACAAAATTTGACGCGAATCAAACGTAATCAGCGATAAGGAGCGCGATGTAAAGACGGAACCGTTCCGTTCCCTCCCGGCACAGTCTACAATTCAGGCGGCGCGTAGCGGTCGGCGCCGGCTGCCGAGTCGCCGCGTCGCCGCGGCGACAGGATGTTCACTGTACACCGCTATTACTAGACCAGTTGTGAACCGATTTTCTTATTGCTTGCACGATGAGATGTGCAATTCAATTCTGGACAGGTAGCCATAGTTAATTTCGCATGAGAGCAAGAACATGAGAGCAAGGTGTTTTCTATTTTTATATATAATGGCTCTCAGGATAGTGTTAAAAACTGTTCAAGACTTGGAATCAGCTTTTGTGCAATATTAGGCTACCTTGAGAGTTGAGTACCTGGGAGACTGTATTCTTCCTGTGGGGTGTTCCGTGTTTGCTGTAACACTAGCCACTTCTCGTCACTCCAGATCACTCGTTCGAATTCGTATTCGTATTCGTATTCGTATTCGTGTATTTGCGGCTCCGTCCTCACAAGTGTGAGGCTTTTCAGTTGCCATGTCAATGGTACACTTATTTCTAAAGTGGATATAAGGCTACACCGCTACAGATACACATACTATATACACACAAGGAAATAATTACACTCTTCGGTTCTTCGGAGCCAAGTACTCCCATTAATATGATTCCTTAACTCACTCTTGCGCGCGTCACGTGTTGACCTACACTCGACACACTCTTAAAGAGTGTGGATGGAGCTGAAGAGCTCATAGAACACCCACTACGACACTCATAATACCGTTATGAGAGTCATGTGACACCCAATATTAGTGTCATTTTTACACAAGCTTATCGGCGTGTTTTTCTTGTCGTCACAAGCTTATCGGCGTGTTTTTCTTGTGTAAAAATGACACTAATATTGGGTGTCACACGACTCTCATAACGGTATTATGAGTGTCGTAGTGGATGTTCTATGAGCTCTTCAGCTCCATCCATACTCTTTAAGAGTGTGTCGAGTGTAGGTCAACACGTGACGCGCGCAAGAGTGAGTTAACCTTCCAGGCGGTGGGGGGGGGGGGGGCAATTTTTTGCCCCCCTTTAGTTTTTTCGATATATCTCGAGAACCGCTGCGCCGATCGTCACCAAACTTTCAGTACCCTCCCGGGAGCAGCTAGCGCACATGGTGACCAAAAATTTTTCCAAAGGCTATGATAGGTTGGCCGCTAATGACGTCAGAGTGACGTCATTTTTGCCGTTTTCGACCCAAAAAAAGGTTTCGCGGGAAGAGCTGTCAGGCCTACAGCTTTAGAGATACAGAAAAATGTTTCAGACATAAAAGGTGTGAAATTAAAAGGGCTACAAAACTGCTATTTCGGTTTTTCAAATTTTCTGGATTTTGACCCCCAAAAATTAAAAAATAGATTTTTTGAATATAATAGCCAAAAAATCCAAAAAGTTTTTTGAATTTCGA